CAGATTTTCGCCCAAAGAAATTCTCAAAAATGTTGAACCAGGCGGAAGTTATAAATTTTTGAATGTTTGAAAAATAACGGTTTAACACATCGTTTTCACTGTATTTTCACTGTTTCTTCTCAAAGTATCTGCATATTCAGAGATCTTCCTTACCGAATCAGCTTCTGATCCAAACATATAAATTGAAGATGATATTAAGATGGTTTTGACGCCTCAATAATCGCTCCAAAATAGTATTTCAATCAAAAGTTATGAATTTTCGATTACCCGTGAAACAATGGGACAACAATTAAATCCAGTACACTATCTTCAAAGAATTAAAATTCTCGGAGATCATATTCATAAAATTAGCCTTCGATCTGAACACGATGTTGTACCCCAAAATTTACCCTCATATTTTTACTCAAGACATGATTATTGAGGTCCTCAATTGCTCAATAGGTTTCAAATGATTTCCATGGCACTCTATATGCCTCAGCATAATGGCACAACTGAAAGAAGAAAAGGAAGTGTACATGACAAGGGGTAGGTCAAAAGCTGAAAATATGCCTAAGAGCTTTTGGGTCGAAGCAGCTTTGATAGCAGTATGCAGTCTATTCTGATGTCCAATAAAGCGCTAAGATCGAAGAACGAGTGGTTCGAAAGAAAATATGAGGATACTTTTATAAAGCCTTTGATTGATGAAGAACTAGTAAGGAGCATCTTCAAAGGGTTCGTCTTCAAACCATTGAAAGACAGGCCATTCGAAGCATTACAAGAACAGACCTTTCGATTTCCATGTTGTTTGAAGGGGCACTTCAAATAGAAGAATACTTTGAATTCGAAAGCTTTTATCTTATCCAAAGAAGCATGTGGAAGCCTAATGGTTAGAAGGGCATGCAATTTTCAAACATGGCATGATCGAAGGATAGTTAGAGACGAAGCAGCCAAATATGAGTCATCTTAGAGTTTTGGGAGCAATGTGTTTCAGGCATGTGCCTGAACAGGCAAGGAACGAGTTGGGTGATTGAAAGTAAAATCTTGATGCTCATAGGTTACCTTTTGATTGGTGCATACAAGCCATATTCACCAATTGAAGGTAAACTAGTAAGCAAGAAAGATTTTCTTGTAAGCAAAAGCAAGGGGTGGGAGTTGGAATCAAAGGACCACCTATATTACTATGTTCGAAGGAAAGGACAAAACGAAGCTTCGACGGGCCAAGATGAAGAAGTATTCGAATTGAGCAACTATTCTAACTATTCTAAGCGTAAAACCGTGTTTCGTATGTGCCAAGTTGTATTAATTTTATGGAATGATGTAAATATAACGTCAATATGTGATATATTTGTGGATTGTTACAGCTGCATGTTTGGAAGGTGAATATTGTGTATTGGTCGTAGTGGCGAAGTGAACTGACCATGGTGAAGGTCGATGTGCATATTATTGTTGATTGTGTGAGTTGTACATATGTCATGCATACATTTTATACAAATATGGGAGTATCGTGTGTCTGGAGGGGTGTGAGCGATATATATATATATATATATATATATATATATATATATATATATATATATATATATATATATATATATATATATATATATATATATATATATATATATATATTCCATGTGGGAATCATATGATCATGTACCCAGTGGGGTGTGAGTGATGGAGATCGTTCGTGTGCCCAGATGGGTGTGAGTGATAAAAAGGAGATTGATCGTGTGCATAGTGGAGTGTGAGCGATGAATAGGGGAATGATCACGGACCCGACATTATGTGAGTGATGTATCAGAATTCCTATAGGAATTGATTGGTGGGTTCTTATGAGCTGATGGTACCATATGCATTGAGTCGTATATGTGTCTCATTGTATTACATAATATGCTATGTTGCATTGTTGATTGATTATTGTGAATTGTGTGATTAATTATCCATGTGTTGGATTATGTGGTGTAAATTGAGCATAATTTATCTTTCCCAGAGCTCACTTAACATGATAGGGTGTCCATTCTATTACCAATTGAAATTATGTTTAGGGGACAAATGTAGAACTCGGTGTTGGAACAACTGGTCCAATAAGTTACACCAGTGAGACAACAACACTTGCACAATAAGATGGATCAGAAACATACACCCACGTCTTGAGGGTTGGCTTCCAACCCAAGAAAGGAAACTCACTATTAATAGCTTAGTAAAATCAGTCTTACAGGCAACAATAAACCCTATGTTGTCCTATGCCTTTCATAACACTACCCAATGACTTTCTATTTTGGTCACCCCCTAAATATGAGAATCCCTCTCAATTTCTCTCAAACACTAACCTAAGTGTTGGACTTTCAATCACTAAACCATTTTGATCAACCTTAATCATAACTATAAGTGATGTTGAATTTTACAACTCAATTAGACAAGCCTAATATGCCAAGTTACTGAAACATAGTGGTGCACATAAAACAACAAGGACTCTTTTGAACTCTAAAATTTATAGATCTTAATTGTATGATCTGTGTCTTTAAAGCTAGGAAAGAGCTCATTATATATCATAATTTATCTAAGTTTTTCCTCATGGATATTTAATTTGATATCGCTTAGAATTGATGTAGAATCTGTTGGATGTTATTTGTTCCTTAAATATCTCCAAAAATATATGATTAATTTTAATTTAAATTCAAATTTAAATATCCATTTAAATCTGAATTAACCTTCATTTAGTTTTCAAACAAATCACATAATCATATTGTTAGATCAATAACAATAAAATCTTTAACAAATCTTCTGCAGAACATACTCCAAAATGCATCAGTCTGGCCTGTTGAGCAAAGGCCCAAATGTTGTACCACATGCTGAGACATCATGTTTAACATGTGTCCCTTCTATAGTTCCATACAACGTTAACTAGATCAACTTGAACACTTTAAACACTTACCTATGTTGTTGTTTTGCAAAAATGCAACTAATCCAAATGACCAATTCACAAAAAACTTCACCGTTGATGTCGTCCTTCAGCTATATGTGATCATTAGTGTTGTGGTTTTGTCCCTTGTGGAATCAATAATATTTCGACTTGGTGGAATAAGATTTTCGAATTGTTTATTTAGTTTTTCCTCCATAATCATGTAAGAAGGAGCCATGCTCAACATTTTCTGAGTGGTTCGTATCTTCTTGCTTCCTATTTTCACCTTAAAGGGATGAGCCTTTACAAGGCTGTTTTTGAAGATCCAACATTTAAGGCCTTCTTCGGCTCCTTCGACTTTGACTGCAACTTGCATAAATTGGTCGATATAAGACCACAAGCTTTCCTTCTTCCCCTGAATAATCATGCTCAAAGCGGTTACAGTCACCTACTGCATTTTTTGGGTGGTAAAGTGAGTAAATGGCAGTTTGCATAAATCGTCCATAATTCAATGTTCCCATTCGGCAGACCATTGAACCATAGCCTAGTCAGTCTGTTAGAGTTAATGCGAACATATTGCATTTAAAGGCTTCGTCAACACTAAAGTAATTTAGCCGATCATTGACGAGTTGCACATGCACATCTTTATCTCAATTTCCGTCATACTCGCCCAACTTATGAGGCTTCTCTATGGGTTTTGGGATTTTGCTATCCAAGATTCGAGAACACAAATGATGGTTCGATTGATTCTTTAGAGGCCGATTTTCTGTTTGATCAAGGGTACGAATGTGGTTGCCTCGATCTCCCTCGGGACTTTGGGGAGGACTTTGGTGCTTCATGCTCTCTTCTACCAATTATTCGATTTAGGAGCTTCATCTTTCTTCCTAGCGGTCGACTCAGGGACAACAATTTGATTTCTTCTTTATGCATCTTTTTGAATGGAGTTCCTCATCGAGGAGCATTATGAAGGATTTCTTCGAGGTGCGACAACCTTTCTTCTATTGCTTGCAAATTTTGCTGCTTTAAAATGTTGTACATCATGTCAAATAAGTCGTTTTGGTTGAGTAACCTATTAGTTGAAGTTCACCTAATTAAAGATGAACAAGTGAAATGTCGCATGTTCAAACTCACACTCTTGCACCTAAAATCCCTACACAGCTATCAACCGAGTTAGCTTAACAAGACATTATCATTCACTTATTAACAATCTAAAAAAAAATAGCAAATGATAATCTAAATTGATTAAACTAATAAGTTATTTTTAATAACTTTCAATTTTTTTAAATATATTTATGAAAAGTGATTTTCATTACGATAATAAATAAATAAATATAAAACAATTTATATTTGATATAAAATATTTTTTTAAATATTGAATATTAATCTTTCATATAGTTTATAATTAATAGGGTATGTTTGGATTGATGGAAGAGAGTGGATGAAACAAAATGAAGTAGTATAAATTTATGTTCTATTGTTTGGATCGATTAAGAATTGATAGAATGGAGCGGGACTAGATGTAATGCATTTCATCCCATTCTATTACTTTCTATCATTTTTCATACCATCTGATTTGGACAAAATGACAAAATCTCTCTATTCTGTCTTAAAATACTCTCCACTCTGTTATACTATATCCCACTTCATTCATTTTAGTTATACTTATTTACAATGTATCAAATTAAATTCATAAAATATTAGCTTAAAAACTATAAATTTATAATCAAATAAAAAAGATGAATTTGACAACAAATGAAAGTGATAATTATGTGAAAGGAAATATATTAAGAGTAATTTTTGTTTTTTCAACAATAACCAGTTTGTGTGAGATGGGCTTCTAGGTAAAACCCAAAGGCCCATAGAAAGAGAATCAGCAAAAGGCCTCATAGCATCACTATAAAAAACAGTGATGTAATTAGGGTTCTATCTCTTTCGAACGCACTTCCATTGCAGCGGCACAGCAGCCTCAGGTACTCCATTTCTCACTCGTATTTTCGTTTTTCACTACTTACAACAGCTGCAACAATGATTTTTTCTTCAAGAATTGTATCAAATTATTCATCGATTTTATTCGTTCTCACTCTAAAGTTTTTGTTTTTGTTTTTGAGGTAGGAGAAGAATGTCTCACAGGAAGTTCGAGCACCCAAGACACGGTTCCCTGGGATTTCTCCCAAGAAAGCGTGCTGCTCGTCACAGAGGAAAAGGTTTGTTTTTCCGTAGACATTTGTTTTTGGTTACTGCAACGCTTAATTGAAAAACAATCAGGGTTTTGTTGTTGAAAAATGGTTTCGCAGTACCGATCTGATTACAAAACATGTCCCATGGCTACGATTTTATTGAAATTGTCATAAACCCTAAACCCTATTGCTATTTACTCTATGATTGTGTTTCTCTTATTCATTTGAGCTTGTGTAATTTCAACAGCTTAATTTAAGTGTAAATTGATGCTATCACAATTATAACTTTGTTGTTGCAAAATTTATACTCATGCAGTGAAGGCCTTCCCCAAGGATGACCCAACCAAGCCACCAAAGTTTACTGCCTTCTTGGGTTACAAGGCTGGAATGACCCACATTGTGAGAGAGGTCGAGAAGCCAGGATCTAGTGAGTATCATTCTCATTAAAACTCTATTTAATTTATTAACTGAATGTGATGACTGATTTTTTGTTTTAGGTTGTCATGTCTTCATTATCATGTCTGTTGTCTTTTGTTATTTTTAATTGAATTGGGTAGTCTTTAAATATGATTTCAGCCAAGTTATCATTTTGAATACTATAATTCTTATTGTTGTTCAATCTGTTTCCATTTCTCTGGATAGTATTCTTGATGAACTTGGTGATTTTAAACTACATTTTCAGCCAGTTTATGTGTTTGAATCAATTAACTCTTAGCATCACTCACTTTCCATCATGTAACTTATTTTGTTCTCTTGTATTGTCATCATTCCTCTGATTTAACATGAAATTATACTCTTTACTCCAGAGCTTCACAAGAAGGAGACTTGTGAGCCTGTTACAATCATTGAGACTCCTCCAATGGTTGTTGTTGGTGTTGTTGGTTATGTGAAGACTCCACGTGGTCTTCGTACATTGAACACTGTATGGACTCAGCATTTGAGTGAGGAAATTAAGCGTAGGTTCTATAAGAACTGGTGCAAGTCCAAGAAGAAGGCTTTCAGCAAGTACTCAAAGCAGTATGAAAGTGATGAAGGCAAGAAGAACATTCAGACTCAGCTTGAGAAACTGAAGAAGTATGCAACTGTTATCCGTGTGTTGGCTCACACTCAGGTACTAACTATGTGCCTTGCTTTCTTTCGTAATTCATTACATATGTTGTTAATTTGTCCCCTAATATTTTACTGTGAACTGTCTATTGCAACATATTCCCTTTTATTAAATCTTATGTTTGTTTTGAGAGGTGATAATGATGAAATATCTTTGCTAACACAGCACTTATTTGAGTGCTATGAGTGGCACTTTCCACACGAGATTTCTGACTCCCATTTGTTTTTTCTCATTATTTTTATACAGTCAGTTAAACTCTTTAGAAAAATGAGATTGTGGTTACTTGTCACCTTCAATTGAATTTTGTTTGAGTCTGTTTTTGTATCATAATGTTTCATTTTTAATGTAATGTGAATTGTGCATGGCTTATGTTTTTCTGTGAGATGAGAATGATGAAATATCTGTGCAAACGCAGTGTTAATTTAATGCTATGAGCGGCACTTCCACACGAGATTTCTGACTCATGACAGTTTTTACTAAAACAACTTTTGATATAAAATGCTGTAGATACAAGTTGTGGTTATAGATTTATTTACCACAGTTTTTTGTATTGACTTTTATGGTATCTGCATTCTAAATTCATTTTTTTGAAGACATCAATTTTCTGATTTACTTTTCCATATCTCACAGATCAGGAAAATGAAGGGATTGAAGCAAAAGAAAGCCCATATTATGGAGATTCAGATTAATGGTGGCACTATTGCTCAGAAGGTTGACTTTGCATACAACTTCTTTGAGAAGCAGGTTCCTATTGATGCTGTGTTCCAGAAGGATGAAATGATTGACATCATTGGAGTGACAAAGGGTAAGGGTTATGAAGGTGTCGTTACCCGTTGGGGTGTTACTCGTCTCCCCCGTAAGACTCACAGGGGTTTGAGGAAGGTTGCTTGTATTGGTGCATGGCATCCTGCCAGAGTTTCCTTCACTGTTGCCAGGGCTGGTCAGAACGGTTACCACCACCGTACTGAGCTTAACAAGAAGATTTACAAGCTTGGCAAAACTGGTGAAGAGACCCATGATGCCCAGACTGAGTTTGATAGGTTGGTTACATTCTTTGATTATTTATTTTATGTTGTCAATGCTGTCAATTCAATCCGCATTGCAATTATGACCAATGTTTAACCAAAATGATATTGCTTACAGGACTGAGAAAGACATCACCCCCATGGGTGGTTTCCCTCACTATGGTGTTGTGAAGGAGGACTATCTGATGATCAAGGGAGGCTGTGTTGGTCCCAAGAAGAGAGTCATTACTTTGCGCCAATCCCTTCTTAAGCAGACCTCTCGTCTTGCACTTGAGGATATCAAGCTCAAGTTTATTGATACCTCTTCCAAGTTTGGTCATGGTCGTTTCCAGACAACACAAGAGAAGCAAAAGTTCTATGGACGCCTCAAAGCTTAGTTTTGTTAGTTGGATTGAATTGTTGGAACTTATCTTTATGTTTTGTTGGAACTTGTCTATTAGACTTTTTTTGATAAACTTGAATTCTCTGGTTATTTGAGTTTCCTGTTACTATTGGGATTTTGTTGTACCCATAATACTTCTAGTTTTCTTAATTTATTTCTTTTCCTTGTGTTTTGTTGCATATCATTCGTTATATTGGGATTTTATTATACCCGTATTACGTCAGTCCCTCGTTATCAATCTAAAAAAACAAAACAATAAAATAACATATTTGTTTTATATAATTTTTATCAAATATACACTAAATAATGTATATTTTTGTAATGTTTAGAAAATAAAATGATAGAGTAATTTTTTATTTATACAATAAACAAATCTGTGAGAGATGGAATTAAGGTTGCTATCACTATAAAATACCGAGTTTGATGAAATTAACGTTCACATTGGACACTCACTTAAGCCTCAGGTAACTTATATTCTCCTTTTTCTTAGTATTTTCATTTTTCACTACTTACTACAGCAACAACAATGTTTTTTTTTCAATATGTTTTTTTTTAGTAAGTAGTTGGAAAAATGAAAATACTAAGGAAAAAGGAGAATATAAGTTACCTTTAGCTAAGTAGGAGAAGGATGACTCACAAGAAGTTCGAACACCCTAAACACGGTTCTCTGGGATTTCTCCCTAGGAAGTGTGCTGCTCTCTGAAAAGGTTTGTTTTTTCGTACATATTTGTTTACTATTTGTTTGTTTACTATAACTCTTAATTGTGATATTTTTAAAGCAGAAACAATAAAATTTTGTTGATTAAAATAGTTTTGCAGACCCCATCTAATGATCAATCATGTCCTTATATTATATTCATGGTTATGATTTCATTGAAATTATTATAATCCTTAAACCCTTAATGCGTTTACTGCTTATGTGCCCAGACTGAGTTTGATAGGTTGGTAACATTCTCTTATTTTTATTTCTGGTGTCATTTCAACCAGTATTACACTTCTATCAAAAATGTTTAACCAATCTGAATTTGTTAACAGGACTGAGAAAGACATCACTTCGGGTGCTACCCGTCTCCCCCGTAAGACTCACATGGGTTTGAGGAAGGTTGCTTGTATTGGTGCATGGCATCCTGCTGGAGTGACAAAAGGTAAGGGTCATGAAGGTGTTGTTTCTCGTTGGGGTGTTACCCGTCTCCCCCGTAAGACTCACATAGGTTCGAGGAAGGTTGCTTGTATTGGTGCATGGCACCTGCCAGAGTGACAGAAGGTAAGGGTCATGAAGGTGTTGTTTCTCGTCGGGGTGTTACCCGTCTCCCCCGTAAGACTCACATGGGTTTGAGGAAGGTTGCGTGTATTGGTGCATGGCATCCTGCCACAGAGTGATAGAAGGTAAGGGTCATGAAGGTGTTGTTTCTCGTTGGGGTGTTACCCGTCTCCCCCGTAAGACTCACATGGGTTCGAGGAAGGTTGCTTGTATTGGTGCATGGCATCCTGCCAGAGTGACAGAAGGTAAGGGTCATGAAGGTATTGTTTCTCGTTGGGGTGTTACCCGGTCTCCCCCGTAAGACTCACATGGGTTTGAGGAAGGTTGCTCGTATTGGTGCATGGCATCCTGCCAGAGTGACAGAAGGTACGGGTCATGAAGGTGTGGTTTCTCGTTGGGGTGTTACTCGTCTCCCTTGTAAGACTCACATGGGTTTGAGGAAGGTTGCTTGTATTGGTGCATGGCATCCTGCCAGAGTGACAGAAGGTAAGGGTCATGAAGGTGTTGTTTCTCCTTGGGGTGTTACTCGGCTCCCCCGGAAGACTCACATGGGTTTGAGGAAGGTTGCTTGTATTGGGGCATGGCATCCTGCCAGAGTTACAGAAGGTAAGGGTTATGAAGGTGTCGTTACTCGTTGGGGTGTTACCCGTCTCCCCCGTAAGACTCACACGGGTTTGAGGAAGGTTGCTTGTATTGATGCATGGCATCCTGCCAGAGTTTCCTCCTCCACTGTTGCAAGGGCTGGTCAGAACCGTTACCACCACCGTACTGAGCTGAACAGGAAGATTTACAAGCTCGGCAAATCTGGAGAGGAGACCTACGATGCCCGGCCCAAGTTTGATAGGTTGGTAACATTCGCTGATTATTTTCTGGTGTCATTTCAACCAGTATTACACTTCTATCCAAAATGTTTAACCAATCTGAACTTGTTAACAGGACTGAGAAAAGACATCACCCCCATGGGTGGTTTTCCTCGCACCAATTTCTTTGAGAAGCAGGTTCCTATTGATGCTGTTTTCCAGAAGGATGGAATGATTGATATCATTGGAGTGACAAAAGGTAAGGGTTATGAAGATGTTAATCGTTGGGGTGTTAGCCGTCTCCCCCGTAAGACTCACATGGGTTTGAGGAAGGTTGCTTGTATTGGTGCATGGCATCCTGCCGGAGTTTCCTTCACTGCTGCCAAGGGCTGTTGCAAGTGCTTAATAGCTTGGTAACATTCTCTCTAACTCTCTAGTAGTGTGTTCCATCTACTCTTGTTATTTGAGTTTCTTGCTACTATTGTTATTCCTTTTCCTTTTCTTAGGTTTTGATTCATAGCATGCTATGTTTTTTTTCCAGAAAATTGCTTTTAACAGTCAGTTTATTATCACAACATGCAAATCTATTTTAGAAATTTTTGAAAATGTTTGTGGATAAGTTGTTAAACTTAATGTGAAAGCATTTTATACAGGAAATAAAACTTAGAATCAGATAAAATGATTTTGGTCCCTACAAATTATACAGGAAATAATAACTATGCAATTCATACTTATAAATCTGTGTATAGTGTCGGTGATTTTGGTCTCTACAAATTATTATTTTGTTTATTATTAAACCCAATGATATATAACTTGTAAAGCTTAAAGGAAAAGGAGTAGAAATAATACATTTAGTCCGAGAATCTACATAATGAATTCATTTAATATTAATGGACAATCATCTCATTCTATTTTCAAAATTGAGAAGTAGAACAAAAATATTTATACAATCATCTCATTATACAATGAAAAACATAAAAAAGAGTATTGAGAGGCATTATGCAGGATTGGTGGATGTTCTTTTGGAGGAGTGTGGTTTTCTTTGAACCCTGACCTCGGCCTAATTTCTTGTGGGAATTTCTCTTGTATGATAGATCTCTTAGATTTGATTTTGGAGTAGATCAAAATTAAGGGCTGCATGTGGAATTTGGATAATTATACTTTGTGTGATCCTTGTTTTGATTCTTGATGGTTGTGATTTCGTGTGATTGTTGATTGGGATACTTTGTCTTACAACCATGATTTGAGTCAACAACCATGATTTGAGAGGCTGATTCGAATCACGCTAACTCTGATTCGAATCACAACTGTTTTGAATGAATTCTCGACGTTCTAGTTGCTTGATTCGAGTAAGATGATCTCCTAATTTGAATCACGAAGAAAGATTGTGTCTAAAACACTGATTTCATCATAGCTTGAGTTTTGAAGCCCTGATTAAGGTGAGATCAGCTGCGTTAGAAATCTAATCTTAAAGATATACCTTGTGGTAAAGTTTCAAGTACTTATACGAATGTGTGAGGTAAAGTAGGACATGAGTCCAATATTTGATAAATTATTTACGAAGTCCTAACGTGGCAATCAAAGTAAGTGTATTTCATAAGAGGAAGGAGGTTTAAGATGAATTCACGTAAGTTGATCATGCATCATATTAGAGTGGGAGTAGGTTTGCGTCTAAAAAGAGTGTTGTAGTACGACTGTAGTTCACATGTACTCTTTAAATATTGAGTCTAGAGAGAATGTTGTAGTACGAACGTGAGTCTAGAGAGAATGTTGTAGTACGAACGTAGCTCACATGTAATTCTAGATTAGAGTTTAGTGAGTGTTGTAGTACAGGACGTAGCTTGCATGTACTTCTAAATTATAGAACTCATGAAGAGTTTGTTGTACGGAATGTAGCCCCCAATACTTCTAGAATACATCATTAGTTCAATGACTGGTACCACATGCATATGGAGTTGAGGATAAAGTGCATTGCATATTCATTCATGTGTATATTCTGTAGCATCATATACAGCTGTGTAAAGTTGTATGACTTGGTATGTTGTGTGATTATGATGTTGATTGTGTGTTATGAATCATGCTACTTTTGTTGTTATTATACCTTATAGTTTATAGATTGTGTTCTATCCTTTCTCGCCTTTTTGTTTCCATGTCTCTATGATATGAATTTATATGCAGGATATCCTCAAAGTTGGAACCGAGGAATAATCGTATTGTGTCACTTTTATTGAAGATGGTGTAGAAGACCGCTTCATTGGTTATCTTTTGTGCTTATGTATGATAAACTGTCAAGTTAGTTAATACGTCTGGTTTGTAATAAGGCCCTGTTATTGGGACATCGGGGTCGGGATTCATGGGTTTTCTATTGTACATATGTATGCTGGTATTGTGACATCGGAGTGGGTTTTCTATTGTACATATGTATGCTGGTATTGTGACATCGGAGTTGGGATTCACGTGTTTCCTTTTGTACATGTGTATGCTGTATTGTCAAGTCAGCTGGTATGCTGTTTCTAAAAAGACTCTGGTATTGTGACATTGGGGGTTAAGATTCATGTTTTTCAAATTATTATGTTTGGTTTTATGTTTTAATCAAACACTCGTATATGAGAATGTTTATGTTATTTGAGTTAATTTTGTTTTATTTATGAAATAAATATTTTGCAAATTATGTTTTAAAAAAAGAAGAGTTTGGGGTTAGGGTGTCGTATGTATCAATCAATTCCTTTCTCATAAAGGAAGATGATACATTGCGAGGCCGAACTCTTTTTCATAATTGAGCCCCTGGCATAGATTGTATATAGATTCCTCTTCAGCATGGCTTATTTAGCAGAGAGAGAATCTAATTTGATTCGCTAAGAATGAGGATCAAAGTGGAAATGGGGTCAGGATTAAACGAGGCTTGAGCAGAAATTAAAATGAGCTTCCTGAGCACGGGGCGTTTGATGCACATAAGACTTCATACACAAATTTTGGAAATTAAACTTGCAGAAAATAAAACTTCTAGAAAATAAACTTGCAGAAAATAAAAGTTAAGAGAAAGAGGAAAAACACTAGAAATTTATACAGTCGAGAAGACTTAGTCTAGACTGATTCATATGGACCTATAGTCTAATCTATTTAAGATCAAACTTATTTAATAAAAATATCAGTTTAAAAGTTTATTTAATTAAATAGTTCAAATTTAAGTTATTAAAAAAATCTATGAAGTCTTATAGACCTACCAATATATATATATATATTAGAAAAAAGACTAAATAGTCTGATCCATATATACATTTATATTATAGAAAAGCTAAATAGGTTGATATATATATATATATTTCAACCTATAAGATTTCTTAAGTAATACTTTATATGTCTCACAATGAGTGACTCATTTAAAATAAAATATTATTCTAAAATAAATGACCCATAATTTCTAATACACTTTTTTTTTTAATTCTACTCTCTAATTAATAAAAATTACATCATTCCCCCATACATGATGATATGTACTATAATAGAAATATCACATACTTTTCTTAATATGTGTAAAATGATTAACTGAATCACTCATTGCGGGAAGGAGGGAGTATGAATTAATTGAAAACCTTAATTAAAAACACTCTTTTAAATAGACTTTCAAGTCAGACCAGACCGACTTTTAAAAAGGTCAGGCCAGACCAAAAAAAGAGCATATAATAGGCCATAGTCCAGACTCAGGTCTTTTAAGTTTATCGTAGATCAGACTCAGGTATTTTAAAGTCTAGTCTATTCTATTTCTATCCCTACTTGTCACAAATGTTAGATCTTGAGAATATACAGTAAAACTTAAGAGCTTTTAGTCGGTTGAACTCTCGAATCCTCTTATACAGGGAAAAATGAAGTTTTTAGATAACTCTGAACCAAACAACAAATAGTGGAGAGAAGTGGTTAATCTTCCTTCTAAATAGCGAATGAATCTGTTATTTTCCTTTCCAAACAAAAACTTGAATTAATTAAACCAAAATTTTCTACAGATTTATCTCGAACCAAAATGAGCTTTTGAACTGAGCTAAACTCACGAATCAAAAATTGTTCGGACATTTCCTAATTCAACCGACACGTCTCCAAAATATTTTTAGGAATATTTCTTGATCAAAAAGGCTTTTGAAAATATGTTTTAGTGCATGTGTGATTTAGCTGTATAATGTTATAAAAATGTCCTTGTCTTTTTACATCAAACAATTCAATCAGACTTATTAGGGAGAACTTTCACACTTTCTCTCTTTCATAATTTGAAGCTTCAAATCTTATCAGATACCCAATCATATAGACATTTGCTTGATATCTTCTTGGATACGAGGCTTGCAATTTATCTAAGTTTGAGTGCAATCATCAGAGGAGATTGTAGTGATCATCAAACCTTAATTTGTTTGCTTGCATCTTTAACCGCTTGTGATATTTGAATCCTCATAAATGTTCCTTTATCAACACTTTTTTTTAGTTGTCATCATCAAAAGCATGTTATTGAGGGTTTCTTCTTCAGTTGACCTACAAAACATGGTTTCATATTTTTCCTCTTTTTGATCATGACAACACATATCTCAAGGAGGTGGTAAACGAAAGAAACACACACACACACACACACACACACACACACACACACACACACACACACACACACACACACACACACACACACACACACACACACACACACACACACACACACACACACACACACACACACACACACACACACACACACACACACACACACACACACACACACACACACACACACACACACACACACACACACACACACACACACACACACACACACACACACACACACACACACACACACACACACACACACACACACACACACACACACACACACACACACACACACACACACACACACACACACACACACACACACACACACACACACACACACACACACACACACACACACACACACACACACACACACACACACACACACACACACACACACACACACACACACACACACACACACACACACACACACACACACACACACACACACACACACACACACACACACACACACACACACACACACACACACACACACACACACACACACACACACACACACACACACACACACACACACACACACACACACACACACACACACACACACACACACACACACACACACACACACACACACACACACACACACACACACACACACACACACACACACACACACACACACACACACACACACACACACACACACACACACACACACACACACACACACACACACACACACACACACACACACACACACACACACACACACACACACACACACACACACACACACACACACACACACACACACACACACACACACACACACACACACACACACACACACACACACACACACACACACACACACACACACACACACACACACACACACACACACACACACACACACACACACACACACACACACACACACACACACACACACACACACACACACACACACACACACACACACACACACACACACACACACACACACACACACACACACACACACACACACACACACACACACACACACACACACACACACACACACACACACACACACACACACACACACACACACACACACACACACACACACACACACACACACACACACACACACACACACACACACACACACACACACACACACACACACACACACATATATATATATATATATATATATATATATTTGTAGTGGTTAAACTCCCCCTAAATTTAGTAGAGAGTATACTATACTCTCCTTTAGAGTATACTTTCCCCCTTTATCAAAATAAAAGGTAGGTAAAAAAAGCATCATGAGAATTTAAATATGTAAACACATGCATAATAGTAATTAGAAAAGGGAAAAACATCACACTTTTATTAATTCAAATTTGCTGAAATTCAAAGTAAAGAAAGCGATAAATTACAGAATTTGAAACAACAGGAAAGAAAAAAACACTAAGAATTCAATACACATAAGTGAGTCTATTTGTTGATATATGCATCACCGTCCTTTGAGATGATCTTGATTTTTGCTATGTATTTGACTAGATTAAGACATATCTCCATGACTTGGTTGATGATGTGTCTTCTGATTCTTCTAGATCATCTTCTTCAATTACTGGGTTGTCTCTTAATTCTCTATAGTTGATATGAACGTTCATATTTCTGAGGGCGGAATATTCAATCATGTTGTTAGACGAGTTTGTTGTATATCCTATGGTATCAATGTTGGATATGCTTAGGATTCTAATAACCATTGCTCCATAAGGAATTTTAACTAATGGGTTTTCTTTGGAGTGAATCACGTGGAGAAATATTTCATTCACCCAATTTGTTGAAATATTTTGGGTAAAGAGCCAAAGAGGGACGATATCATCTCTGATGACATAGTTGTCGTTGATATTTTTTGGGAGGAGGATTATTGTTATGAGTTGGTGGATAATGCGAACTTTTGGTTTCAAGAATATTGACTGGAAAGGAAACTTTATTTTCTCCATAGGATTCACGGCAAGGGTGTTTAAGGATGTGGATCTCTTGAAGTTTTTGAAAACTAGGGTTCCCTCAAAATTGTAGGATGTTTCTAGGAAGGTTATCTGAGACATTCTACCAAAATGTTCTTTATGGATGACTATATTAACATCTCTTAATGATGATCTCAGTCAAGTTTCAACAATTTGCAGACTTAAATAAACTTCTTTTCTCAAGATTTGGAAAAGTTCTACCGAATACCTTTATGAAGAATTCCCTTAATGAAGCTTGACAAATTTGAGAGTAAGCATTGCAACCTTTCATGAAGCTTTCCTCCATGTACTATGGTTGAATCATTTTTTCTCGAGTTACGACATACATCCCGTCTAAGAAACTTGATAACATGTCTTGTCTGAGGACTCGATGGAAGTTCCGCCCAAGTAGGACAAATGCCTCGCCTGAGAGACTGGTAGTCTCGCCAGCCGAGGTATATATAATTATGTGTGGACTTAGATTCCTCAGGATAATCATACTCTCGCCTAAGGGACTTAGTTTCTTCTTGGTCGAGACCACTACTCAAGAATCACTCATAAGAGGCGCGACAAATATCTAGTTTAAGAGACTTGGTAACAAGTCATGCCTGAGGGCTCAATGGAAGTCTCGACCGAGTAGGTCAAACGAACCGCCTGAGAGACTGGTAGTCTCGTTAGCCGGGCTATATATAACTATGCCTGAGGGACTTATATCCTCCAGGATAGCTAAGACCTCGTGAGAGAATGCACCAGTTCTCAGGATACTCCCACAAGTCGTGAGTGAAAAAAAACACTTTTTCCTCTACCAAATACCCCGTGCCTGGGGGAATATGTAGTGTTATATTTATAAAAGGCCTCGCTTAGAGAGATGCCCTCAGACATCCATAGAAGGGGCGACAATAGAGTGTT